GCCTATTTCTTGTAGAAAAATCTGTGTTCTTATTACTCCACCATGTCATTAACTTGTTTCTCTATCTGTATTTACCGTAAATTGAACTTAGATGTAGAGATTTGAGTAGTTTCCATTCACACATTTTTGGCAAGCATACTTCATAAGTAATGCTGAAAACTTCATAACACATCCCAACTGGAGGTACTTGAATGTTGGTTATCCTGCTGGTGGTGTACTAGGATTTATTACTTGGTTAAGCTGATGGCCAGATCTTTCCACTGTAATTTTTCAAATAAAATTTAAAAAAAATCCCTGCAAATAGAAATAAATAACCTAACTACATATCACATTGATTTTATTAACCACACAGAGAAAATTTAATTTAAGTTCTCAGTGGTGATATCTGCTGAGGGGCTGTCTGACAAGATAAAGCTGACTCCTCCAGGTCAACTCCCCTGGACCTACAGCTGCCCTGAGCCACGGTAACCTTTTCTGAAGAGGAAGGAGTCTCTCATCAACCCTGGTTACCTTTGTTCACCTGGATCCAAAGCAAGGCTGCCTTATGATGACAATTGTGTCTACAACCACCACTACAATAAGGGCACCTACCATTTACAAATATTAACCATGTGCCAAGCAACATGCCAAACCCTACAAAGTAAGTGCAATGGAGCAAATGTTTTTGTGTCTCCCAAAATTCTTATGATGAAACCCTAATCCCCAATATAATGGTATTAGGAGGTAGATGTTTGGAAGGTGATTAGGTGATGAGGTTGGAGCCCTCATGAAATGGAATTAGTGCCCTTATAAAAGACACACCAGAGAACTCTCCAGTTCTCTTTCCACCACATGAAGACACAATGAAAAGTCAGCAGTCAGCAACCCAGAACAGGGCTCTCAGCGGAACCTGGCCCTGCGAACACCCTGATCTCAGGTTCCTAGCTGCCAGCCCCAGATTTTGATTCCAGAGGTTTGAATATGAACTCAAACTGTGAAAAATAAATTTCTGTTGCTTAGAAGCTACTCAGTCTATGGAAATTTGTTATAGCAGCCCCAACAGAGTAAGACAGTACGACCAGCCCCATTTTACACATCAGACAACTGTCTTAGTTAAGTAACTAGCTCAAGGTCACCATGGATGTAAGACTGTGTCTTTTTAGATAACCGGAAAAGCAGGAATGTAAACCCAGGCTGGTGATTTCAAAGCTTATATACTTAGCCACTTCCTACCCCTCCACTGTCTGAGGAACACACCTGGGGAAGGTAATATTCATATCTGAGGTTTCACAGTCTCCTCTCCTCTCCATGACTTGCAAAGGGAAGTTCTCCCCCATCTGCCGGTATGAGGCCTTTATTACCAGGATCAGAATAACCTGGTATGAGGGAAGGACCAAGAAGCTGGAAAAGCTAGCTGGATTTATAACGGCAAAAGGAGAGAAAAATGGATGCAGAAACTAGAAAGGAACTGGAGATATAAAAGGGCCAATGGGATGAGTCAGACAGAATTTTGAGATGATTAACCAATGGGGAAAGTGCATACTTTGGGAGCAGTACATTGATGTGAGGTAATTGTCCAGACATTGCCTCTTTCCTGTACATGTGGCTTCATTCTACCCCTCTCCCAGGGAGTAGTCTTTGACCATGAATGGATGGTCTCTGATGGATATGCATATTCCTAATAAAGAGTTACAGGTGTAGGTTTCTTTCTGCACCCAACAGCTGCCATCACTTCCTCATGGGCAGACCCTTTCCTCACTGACCTGCCACCATCGGTGTCTCCTGTAAGTTCTAATAAACCAATGTCTTTCCCTGCTGGACCTCCAGGTGACTTCTTTGGAATACATAAAGAACCTTATGCACAAGCCCTCTCAGCTTTGGGGTTGTCATATTACAATTGGTAGATCTATATTTAGAGAGAGAAAGATAGGAAAGAGGGTTTTAAGTTTTGTAATCTTTCTTGATTGTGTTTTACACAAGGAAGCAATAAAGATATGATGTGTGAAGGTCAAAGTCTAGACCACAAATTTGTCCCTTTTTTAAACCTTGATTTGTTGTCATTAGATTTTTCTTTACATCCTCATACAAGTCTTTCAATGAACCTTTTGAATTCTTTTTTTTTTAATTAAAAATAATTATTTTTGGAGCCAGGGTCTTGCTCTGTCACCTATACTGTAGTGCAGTGATGTGATCATAGCTCGCTGCAGCCTTGAATACCCAGACTCAAGTGATCCTTCCACCTCAACCTTCCAAGTAGCTAGGACTAAAAGCATGTACCACCACGTTCAGCTATTTTCTTTTTATTTTTGTAGAAGTAGGTCATGCTACAATGCCCAGGCTGGTCTTTTTTTTTTGAGTTGGAATCTCACTCTGTTGCCCAGACTGGAATGCAGTGGCCACTCCCGGCCACTGCAGCCTCGACCTGCTGGGCTCCGGCATTCCTTCTGCCTCAGCCTTCCGAGTAGCTGGACCTATAGGCGCGCGCTACCATGCCCGGCTAATTTTTTGATTTATTGTAGAGATGAGGTCAGGCTGGTCTTTAACTCCTGGCCTCAAGTGATCCTTCTCCCTATGCCTTCCAAAATGCTGAGATACAGGCTGCTTAAATGGCCTTCATGTGGAGACCCCATGTAGAGACTCCCAGGTCACAACTGGGTGCATCTGAAGCACAACTCAGGCACAAGAATATCAGCAGATACATTTCTTTTACATTTTAAAATTACTTAGTTTATTAAGGGCAAGACTCTTAAAGTGTGTCAATTTTTTTTGGCCAAATGCTCATACTACAGAGAATTATGTAGTAGTCCTAGCTACTTGGGAGACTGAGGAGGGAAGATTGCCTGAGCCTAGGAGGTCGAGGCAGTGGTGAGCTGTGATTGCGCGACTGTACTCCAGTCTGGCGGCAGAGTGAAACCCTGACTCAAAAACAAAAACAAAACAAAAAACAAAATCAAAACCATCGATTCCATCCTCCAAAGAGAAGGTTGGCTGTAGCCCTTCCCAAATCTGTGCCTTGCACGTTTGTTCAGTGTCTATGAGAAATTAGGGCTGTGTTTCTGATGCAGTAATCTAAAGGTGACCAGATCTTTGCAATGTCTGGTTGATCAAGGATACCTAATTCAGGCGGCACCCTTGATTTTCTCTTTTCTTTCCAGTGGCTCTGCACTTGAACACCCATACTTGGACCCTTCCACTGGACTGGTTCCCTCTCTACCCCATGTCCAACTCAGCTCCTATGATCCTAGGTGAGACCCTAAGGAGGTGGCAAGGTTCTCTTCCACACCCCAGCCCTCCTCAGCAGGGCAGACCAAAACATCAGCAAATAATTCCCAGGGCTGTTTCCATCATAAAAAATAGAGGAAGAGTTTATAAATGTAGCTTCAATTTCCTTACCCTTCAAGGCCAAAGTGTGTTTGTTATTTTGGTATTTGGAACCCAGAGTATCTTTTTCCTATGAAACCATAAGACGTGTGGTGGTGAGGTTCTCATTCCAACCCACATCAATAAGAAAGCCATAGTGTCGTTAAGACAAGTCTCATTTACAACAAAGAGTAGGAGACAAATACCTATCACAAGACTCATTAAAACAAAAGAAGAAAAAGAAAATATAAGTAAGAAAATTTGTATTTATTAAAATATGTAGACTCAGAGAAAAGCACATTTGTATTTATTAAAATATGTAGACTCAGAGAAAAGTACATTTAGAGAACACTGAAGACAAAGATGGACGATTTTGGAGATTCCAAAAGCGACTTCTGGGTATTTCAAAGGACTTCAGGGTTGAAGGCACTGGTTCTTGTAATATCTAATTATATTTTAAAGCAAAGAAAGGCCTTTTTTTTCCCCTCTGAGACAGGGTTGTCACCAGCTCTTGCTCTTATCAATGATACCAAAGGTTTTTCTTGTCTTGTGTGACTCACCAATGGAATGCAAAGAGGCAAAAGAGAGTTTTCTCAAGGGAACTGAGAGAAAAAGAACAACAACAAGAACAAGAAGGGGATGGTGAAAGGATAAAGAGATGAGTAGACTGCTTGATAAGAAATAACAAAAGCTTTAAGAGTGGATTTGTGTATACAATGTCCCTGGAAAGAAGACAAGAAGCTACTGGTAAAGACTATATCTGGCATTCCCAACCTGGCACCCATCGCTCTAAAAAGCTGTACCGCCATTTGGAGAAAACAGGTGAGTATGTTTCACGGGCAAAGCAAAAAAGAAAGGGACACAGTCAATGGTGTACGTGGTGAACAGTTCTCTTAAAGAAAAACAAAGCAAGCGCTGATATGTTGTGTTTTCCAGTTGCTGTGGTGTAAACACTTCCACCATGGACAATTTTAAGCTAAATGTTTAATAACTGGCTTGCAAAATTCTTTGAATGTTTAACAGCATCCACGAACTGCCCCAAACCAGCTCAAACACACCCCAGGTGGTGCAATTAACCAATTCCATGCTCAGCTGATCACCATCTAGGCCCCTGCTACCCAAGTATGCCCTGTCCTGTTCTGTGAGCATGATGTTTTTGTTACTTTGGTGGTTACTTCAAAACTGGCAGAAAAATCCCTAGTGTTCAGTAAGCAAGTGCATCTCAAAATCACATCCTTTGAAACGCTGCCAGAAATCTGAGGGCAGGGGGCCATTTGATTAATCTAAATTTAAATTCAAGAGTTATCTTAAAGCTGAATTCTTGGAACTAATTAGATTTCCTGATGACTGTTCTATATAAGTTAAAAAAAACACACACTAGTGTTTTTCTAGAATAATTTTTAAACTTAAAGACCAGGGCAGGTTCTTTGTAAAATGTTAATGCATTTCCAAAGTGGATAAGAAACAGGACTTGTTGGACTCAAAGTGCCCGAGAGTGTGGAAAGATTCCTTGACACATAGAGTGTTTCCCACCCCCCACTCCCCACCCAGAGTGGAGTCTGGAGGAGACCAGATACTTAAGAAAGAGCGACTGGGAGACCCCAGAGGAGCAGGGGTGCGACACAGAGAGAAGCAGGGGTACCACCTCCCTGCAGCTTTCAGGGGCTCCTGCCTACACTGTCACCAGGATCTGGTCCAGAGGTTTCCGTTTGAGGTCGGGCACTGTGGCCTCCTTACTGGGGTACCCGACAGGCAGCAGCATCAGCAGCTTTTCATGTGAGGGCCGGTCCAGGAACACCCTCAGACGTGGGCCACAGTTGAGAGGAGTGGTAGTGACAGTCACCAGTCCCACGTTCTAGAACAGGAGAGGAGAAGGGTGCATTTTAAAGTCAGCAGGCAAAACCACAGCTCTACTGCTAGCCTGAGGACCTTCTGGCCCTATCACACCTGATTTCCTATCTCTTCCCAGAAGTTGGGTAGCAAAGAGGCTCTCAGCTCAGGTAATGGTTTCGATGAGCCCACACTTCCTGGCCTCCCCACCTCCTGCCTTCTATTAACCAAGCAGTGGGAAGCCTCTGAAAGAAGAAAAAATAGTCATATTTTTCATTTATGCTTAAGAAATAGGAATGGTATCCAGGCACAGTGGCTCATGCCTGTAATTCCAGCACTTTGCAAGCCAAGGCAGGAGGATCGTTTGAGCCCAGGACCAATCTGGGCAACAAAGCAAGCTCTCATCTCTACAAAAAATTAGCTGGAGGTTGAGGCTGTGGTAAGCTGTGATGGTGCCACTGCATTCCAGCTTGGGTGACAATGTGAGATTCCTACTCAAAAAAACAAAACAAACCAAAAAAAGGAATGGTTACTTTATGGAAAGAAATTGGAGGAATCCAACCACACCAAAAGAATGACCAAAAAAAAAAGGGGGGCTTCCTTTTAGCTAAAGGATCAGTCTACATCTTGGTACATGATACAGATGATAAGAGCAGTCCACCAAAGCAGTGTCCTAGCCCAAATGCTACTATAATTTTTCTACTAACAATTCTTTCCTGAATTCTAGTTATCTGTCTGGAACCTCTGGTTTGTTATAGAAAGTTATGATATTGGCATGTAAGTCCATTCATATGTACACCCATACATATGTATGAATCTGGAGTGACTTCATGCAGTCTCTTGCTGAAATTCTCTCATACAACACCAATATATCCTTGATTTATTACTATTTTATAATGCCTGAGGAACTGTTCTTAGGAACACATGCTTTGAGGAATCTAATTGATTTCTTCTTTCTCTCATCAGCTTGGATGGTCTCTACTTGATCATGGCATTTATCTTCCTTTGCCATATCTTCACATAGTATTTGAATTTGGAATGGATAATGGATAAATCTTGAACTTTCCATTGAGAAAATATGTACATCTTAATTTGGTGTTATTTTATATTGTGGCCCCCTTTCAAGGCATAGCTTTTACTCCATACTAAATTTTATATATAACCAGCAGAGGAAACCTGTAACTACACAGAACATATTAAACAATCCCTCTTATTAATATTATGCTGATTTCTATTTTTATTTTATCTTTCATGCTTGGTCTCATTTTAAGTCAGGATTTCCTTCCCTGGAACCATCAGACCCCTAAAGAGTCAAGGATTGGCTCTGTAAAAGAAAAATACATCTTTCTATTCACTAACATCTGGCTGAAATTTAGCAGTCTCTTCCATTATAAACATAGGCAAAAACCAGAGCAGTGTTAGCAATATCTATTACTTTGTCTTCAGTGAAATTCAGAGATATCTTCATATCACTTTACAGTTGTTATAGATATCTAAAAATATCATTACACTCACCACTACTTTAAAACTACAGGCCTGCTGCTAGATCTTGGTATTTAATGTGTTAACAAAGACCTACAAATTTTATTCTAGACAATAACCCATCCCAGGGAATACAGAACCAACAATGGATGCAGAGCGTCCCCATCCAGTGAAAATGCCAATGTTAGCCATGTGCAGTGGCTCACGCCTGTGATCCCAGCACTTTGGGAGGCTGAGATAGGAGGATTGTTTGAGGTCAGAAGTTCAAGACCAGCCTGGCAATACAAAAATCTCTACAAAATTTAAAGAAAAAAAAAATTAGCCAGGCATGGTGGTATGCACCTGTAGTCCCAGCTATTCAGGAGGCTGAGGCAGGAGGATTACCAGAGTCTAGGAAGTTGAGGCTGTGGTGAGCTGTGATCATTCCACTGTACTCCAGCCTGGGCAGCAGAGTGAGATCCCAACTCAAAAAAAAAAAAAAAAAAGAGGGAGAGAGAGAGAGAGAGGAAGAAAAAAAGAAAGGAAGGAAGGAAGGAAGGAGAAATAAAATAAATGATAGAGAACCCAGAGGCCAAGGAGCACCCCATCAACCTCTTCCCCAGCCTCCAAATAATAAATATCTAAGTAAAAATGGTGTGTGGCTTCCAGACACTTACCCAGACACACTCTTCCAGCTTTTCCAATCAGATTGCTGCTGCTTAGCCTGAACCAGAGCTAAAAAGAAGTTCTGGAAGCTGCCTCTAGAGTCATGCATGGTGAGCCCTGCCTAGCCACCAGGTTTGAGACTGGGGCTCTGTGAAGATTTTTCTTTCCTCCGTTCCAAACGGTGACCTACCCTCAGTACTATGCCTTATGGAAAGCTAGAGGGCAGCAAACTCAACAGGACGGTAGGTGCAAGAGACCACCTATTGCAAAGGTGCGGATGCCACCTTGTGAGCTGAGCTCCAGGTTTAGCTTCTTCTTCCAGCATCCTAAAATGTGTGGGGATGCCCTGACGCTGCACAGCAATTCCTTAGTTTACCTGCTTACAGATTCAGGAAGGAAATGGAATGCCAGCTTCTTCTGGATAATTTTTCAGATAATCTAAACACATTTCTTTTTTGTGTAACAATGATGATATTTTGCAAGATGTCATTCAGCATACATGCTTTTCTTTGAGATAGTGAAGATGTTCATATATTTTTGGAATTCATTGTCCCGTGAAAGTATGATCACTCCCTCTTATAATCTTGTTTGCTATATTTATTTTATGTGTGTATCATCTCTCTCTATCCCTACCCAGACCCCAGTTCCCACCAGAATGTACAGTTCATGAGATAATTATCCCTAGTGGCACCTAGAGACTGCCACATGGAAGGAGATCAGAAAATATTTGTTGCGTGAATGAATGGAATAGTTTGAAATGTAAACCACAGTCCTGGAATTTCATGTCAATTTGCTCTAGCTACTATGTAGGTGGAATTAAAAAAAAAAAAACAACACGTAGCCATCTTCGGAATGCAATACAATGCAAACTTCTCAGAAAGGGAGCTTTATGAAACAGTCCTCCTTAAGACTTTTCAAAAAATTTAAAAAAGAATTTTTTAACACCCTTCTTCAGGAAGTCCTGAGAAAGTGTGCTCCCCTTATGGCTTTTAAATCATTCCATCAGCTCAGAGAGCAACAGTAAACACATTTAGGGAGTTAGTCTCTGTAGCTTTCAGGTTCAAAAGTTCTTCAAGTGTGTCTGCCAAAACTCTTGAAACTTCATGTTGTTACAGGTAAAGGCAAACACAACAACAAATTTTCTAACCCTGAGATGATGTTACAAATGAATTTCCAGGAAGAATTCCAGCTTGTTGAACCAACATATTCACCAATCCAGGTTTCTGGAGTCAGTTTTCACATCAGAACTACCTTGCTTAGGAATTCGAATTTAGATAAACAATTTCCAAATGTCCTTGAATCTGAAACTCAAATGAAATTTTCTAATAATGCCATTCTTTGGCCCTCAAGTCTCAATTCTCTCCCCTGGGCCTGGCGGGTGGACAGCATACCTGCAAGGCAGCCAGCAGAATGCCACAAGCGATGGAAACACTGATCTCATTGTAGTAGTGGACCTTTTTCTTGCCAGTTGCAGAAAAGCCATGTACTTGTTTGAAAATGAGAATCAAGACAGGGGCAGTGTCCAAGTACTCTTTAATCCAGTTGGTTCTGGGAGGAGAAAACAGATTCAGGAGAATATTCACTCATGATGTTTGCTTTCTTTTCACTACCTTTGCTTATTTATGATAAAAATTAAAACATGTTTACTTGTCTATTGTATCTAAATTGAAAAAGAGCAGGGTGTAGTGGCTCATGCCTGTAATCCCAGCACTTTGGGAGTCTGAGGGAGGAGGACTGTTTAAGCTCAAGAGTTCGAGATAAGCCTGGGGAGCATAATGAAGCCTGGGGAGCATAATGAGACCTCATCTCCACAAAAAAATTTAAAAATTGCTAGACATGGAGGGGTGCACCTGTAGTCCCAGCTACTTGGGATGCTAAGGCAGATGGATCTGAGCTACTTGCAAGGCCTGAGTTCAGGAGGTCAAGGCTGTGGCAAGCCATGATCATGCCACTGCTCTTCAGCCTGGGTGAAAGAGTGAGACCCTGACCCAAAAAAAAAAAATTGAAAAAGACCAGAATTTTTGTTTATCTTTTTCTATCTAAGATCATTCCATTCAGTAAGTTGTATTAATAAGTGCCTGGTATGGTGAGACATATGAAACATATGAAATGATGAAAGATACAAAGACAAATCCTATAACTCCAAGTCAAAATTCAGCAAAGTGAAACCTGGTAAGTGCTAGCAAAGAGATATAAACCAAGTGCATTAGGAGTCCCTCGAAAATGGAAATGCTACTTTTAAATAAGAAAATTGGGGCCCGGTGTGGCAGCTTATGCCTGTAATCCCAGTACTTTGGGAGGCTGAAGTGAGAGGATTGCTGGAGCCCAGGAATTCAAGACCAGCCCGGGCAACATAATGAGACCTCATCTCTACCAAAAAAGTAAAAAAAAAACCAAAAACCTAGCTGGGCATGGTGGCATGCACTTATAGTCCCAGCTACTCCGAAGGCTGAGGTGGGAGGATCGCTTGAGCCCAGGAGGTCAAGGCTATGGTAAATTGTGATCGTGCCACTGCACTGCAGCCTGGGCGACAGAGTGAAACCCAACTCAAAAAAAAAAAAAGAAGCTTGGATGAAAGTTACCAGAAATGGAGTCAAGGCTAGGCACTGAAGCGGCTCTGGGAAGGGCACAACAGGCAGAGTCAAGAGACGAGTGGGGCAGAGCCAGGAGGAGAATGCATGACACACCAGGGAACTTCCAGAAGCCTGCTATAGACCGCAGGATGGCGCTGGGTGGCTTGGCAGGTCACATACCTTTTTTTTTTTCTTTTTGAGTTGAAGTTTCACTCCATCACCCAGGCTGAAGTGCAGTGGCATACTCACAGCCACCCAGCATCAAACTGCGAGGGTCAGGCAGTCCTTCCACCTGCCTTCCAAGCAACCAGAACTATAGGCACATGCTACCATGCCTGGCTAATTTATTATTATTATTTATTGTAGAGACAAGGGCTCACCCAAGTTTCCTAGGTTGGTCTTGAACCTGTGGACTTAGGCAATCTACTCGCCTCGGCCTCCCAAAGTGCTGGGGCTACAGGCTGAGCCACCGATCCTGGCCATACAGATTTTTCAGAATCCTGGACTTCATGTGAAAGGTAGGGAGCATTATCATAGGTTCTGAGCAGAAGCAACACATGATGAGATATTTGGGAAAGAGGTGGATTAGTGTGGACGAGAGTGATATCACCAGGTGTGATATTTTGAAGTACCAACTACAAAACCACCCCAGAGAGAAGGAAACCATGGTTTCTCTTATACTATTAACATCTGTACGTTACACTGCTTTATCATACTTCAACCAGCTTAGCCATATTTGACTGTTATCAATTCTTTTCTCCCTACAAAGAGGAAGAATATTAATGGTTTAAAAGATTCACTCTGTAATCACAGTACTTTGGGAGGCCAAGGCAAGAGGATCACTTGAGCCCAGGACTTGGAGACTAGCCTAGGCAACATAGCAAGACCTTGTCTCTACAAAACAAAACAAAACAAAACAAAACAACAACAACAAAAAACACCAGCGTGGTGGTACATGCCTGTAGTCCTAGTAACTGCAGGGGTGGAAGTAGAAGGACTGCCCGAGCCCGGGAGGTGGATGTTGCAGTGGGCTGTGATCGTGCCACTGCACTCCAGCTTGGGTGACAGAATGAGACCCTGACTCAAAAATAAAGCCATATTTGGCCTTGTGTGGTGGCTCATGCCTATAATCCCAGCACTTTGGGAGACTGGGGTGGAAGGGTCGCTTGAGCCCAGGAGTGGAGACCAGCCTGGGCAACATAGTGAGACCCTGATTCCAAAAAAAAAGAAGATCCACTCTGAAATAAGGCTAGCTTGGCTTTGGCCATTGGGCAAGCAACTTAACCTCCCATGGGGCTCAGTTTCCTCCTGTGTAAAATGTAGTTAAAATATATACAGTGACTTTTAATGATGCCAATATCAGAATTTTAAATTGTGGAAACATCAACACAGAAGAACCACTTCTCTTCTGATCCCCTTTCCTGACTTACTAGATGAGCCAGCCCCTCTATGATCTCCATCGGACACACTGTGTCTTCAGTGTCCGAAGCAGACCCAGGGAAGCCACTCTCCAGGGTGCGCCATTCTTCTGCCCCCCCAGTTGATTTGCATGCTATCAAGAGACTGTTTTCCTGCCCCCCACACTGGATTCTATTAGATAAACTTGTATTCTGCATAGACATTTCTATGATTTACAATTCTGACTTTTGTATTATTAAAATATATAAGAAATAGAAAATTATATGCATATAGAGTAAATAATACAAACTTTTAAAAAATATGAGATGAAGATTAAGTAATTTACTTATATTTTAAGGCAGGTCAATTTTTTTTTTCTTTTTAGAGACAGGATCTTGTTATGTTGTCCAGGCTGGTCCCAAACTCCTGGCCTCAAGAGATCCTTCCTTTTTGGTCTCCCAAAGTGCTGGAATTATAGATATGAGCATCTGGTCCTGGGGCAACCATTTAAAAAGATTTTTGTACTTATTTGCTTTGCTTAAGCATGCATTGGTATCTAATATTTTTAGTTTATTTTTGGTTTATTCAATTTTATAAAAATTCATGATGATACCATATTTGAGCTAATAAAAAGACAGCAATGAGCAAGACTTGTAAAAAGAAGGCCAGGTAACACCTTCTGAGTGTGGTGGAGGCCCCTGCCAGCAAGCTGGAGAAGAAAAAATTTGAAAGGTAGGTTTGATCCAGATTGTGTGCTGAGATTTTTTTTTTTTTTTTTTTTTGAGTTTGAGTCTCACTCTGTCACCCAGACTGGAGTGCAGTGGCTGCTCCCAACTACCGCAGCCTTGACCTGCTGGGCTCCAGCGATCCTTCCACCTCAGCCTTGCAAGTAGCTGGAACTACAGGCGTGCACTACCACACCCAGCTAATTTTTGATCTATTGTAGAGATGAGGTCTCGCCAAGTTGCCCAGGCAGGTCTCGAACCCGCGGGCTCAGGCAATCCACTCACCTCAGCCTCCCAAGGCACCAGATTACAGGCTGAGCCACCGAGCCCGGCTGGAGATTTTAATAAGAGTTGTAGATTCAGAGTTGACTGAAACAGGGTGGCAAGGCGTATGCTCACTTGCAATTCTATTGAATAATTAACTAGCATTTATTTGGTTACCTACAATGCATCACCCTTGTAATGGGTGCTATAATGCCAGGCTTTTTGGACCTGGGCTCCCAGGACCCCTACAGTTATTTTTTATTTTTATTTTTTTTAGAGACAGTGGTCTTGTTATGTTTCATGGTCTGGCATTGAACTCCTGGACTCAAGGGATCCTCCCACCTCAGCCTCCTAAGTAGCTGGGACTACAGATGCACCATCATGCCCAACCCCTAGAGTTCTTTGCATATGTGTGTGTGTGTGTGTATTGTCCATAAAGAAAGTCTATAACTAAATTGGATTCTCCAGGTTAGCTTAGTGAACAACAAAGATTTTTTTAATGACTTATAAAATGAGAAGAAAATTAAATTAAAATACTATGTTGTAATGGCTATTTAAATGTATGGACAGTGTATATTAGATGCTTTGGACACAGGTGAAAAAGCAATTAATTCTGCCTCCACTGAGAAAATGAAGAGAGGGACAATGGTATTTTGTAGATAGGGTACACACCTAGAATACTACATCTCTCTAAGTGTAGAAACTCAACTTGACATTGACCAATCCCAGCTTTTCCTGTGAATATACAAAAATATTTATACATTATTAATATCTCACACTTGCTCCAAAGCATAGGAACAAGCCACAACTCCAGGAGATGTTGATTTGTATAGAATTTAACTATCTTAGGAGAAAATAGTGCCCTGGGGCCAAACAAATGAAAAAGCAGTAAGGCCAAGGAGTCCACTTTCTCATCTACCCGACTCTAACTGCCCGGTGAGAAGTCCTCCCATACTTGCATGACTGCGATCCCATTGTCCTTTCCTAGGCTGTGTCAAAGTAAGGTGTTGGGTGGCTGATGCCGAACTGTCCACTGAAGGCCTGCATCTGAGAGCCAGAGGCATTGGTACATCTTCTGAGCATTCTGAGTGCCAAGGACTCTAGCAGCTCCCCACAGGATCTTGTGAGAGGTCAGGACCCACCATTCCCCCTCATGTTCAATCTAAGAAGAGGTTGGGCAGGAAGGAAATCGCCTTTGATGCACTGCAGTAAAACTTGATACACGGAATTCCTTCCACTTCTTTCCTCAAGGAGGAAGCCCACAAAGTTACTAACACCTCACAGAAACCACACATATACTAATCTTACCCTAAAACTAAAATCATTTGGAAGACCTGATCATTTTAACAGATGCACTTTACTTCACTCAAGAGCTTTAGAATTTCACAATCTTATGTGTTCCAGATGGGTGAAAAGTGAAGACCTCCTAGTTTTATTTACTAAGTGATTATTTGGGTCAGAGCCTATATATTTACCAAACACTCATATGGGGATGCAGGGGCGAGGAGGTCTGACTTCTATAATTCCTTCCAGATGCAGATTCAAACTTTTTAACACAACAAAACTAGGAAATGGCAGTGATGGTCATCTCATTTTAAGAGGCCAAACCAGGTCATTGCCAGGCCATTGTGGACATTGCCTTACTAGACTCTTGTGTGGCAATGTGCTCTTTTTGCTATGGGTGTCACCATGCTTCCTGGCTTTGGCCCCCTTCCCTTGGGGAGGTGAATCTCCTCTTTCGTTCTCACTCTCTAATTTGTCTTTTAAATAAACTATATTTTCTAACCCTAAAAAAAAAAAAAAAACCCCAAACCAAACATCTCTTACTTCACCAGCCTTCATACCTCAGTTTCTTCAAGTCCATAACCCATCGTTGTCCCATTCTTTTCATGTAGTTTATTTCCTCTTCCTCCTCAATGATTTCACGAATCTTATGCTTCACGTCCGGGTCCTTCACAACTACAAAGGTCCAGGGCTCTGTGTGGGCCCCGCTCGGGGCTGTTCCTATCATGCATTCAATTAAGATCATTAAAACTGCAGAAAGTATGAAACTATTCATTAAGAATAAATATAACAGTTCATATTTGTTCAAAATGGGGTTAGTTAATCTGAAAAACAAAGTGACTGGTGGGGGACTCTGGTAAATTGCTGACCCCCTGCTGTTCATCATCACTTCTGGTGTCTCTGAGCCAACTGATCGAGACCATGGCCAGGATGGTTCTAGGACTGTGGGAACTTAGCACTGTTTCTCTGGTTAGGGAGAAAATATCCTGAAGGAATTGCATTGAAATCACTAAGGAAACCCAGAGAAGAAATTCTGACAGCCAGAATTCTCCCAACTGTCACTGTTTTAATATTCTTGAAAAAGGATAAAGTCATGAAGCTTAAAGGCAAAATATCTGTGGTGAAATTGTCCTCAAAACACTCCTCAGAAGGCAACTAAACTATATATTGTTTGGTGCCTCTGTCAAAGCTCTGAGTGCGACACCGTGAGGTTTGTGGTCTCATTGGGATTCATAAGAGTTGGGGAACCCTTGGCCCTGGGTGCTTAATACGCACAGCTACGTGTCTTTCAGTCCACAGCGCAGTCAGGTCCCATGTCCCAGGGCAAAGCTTCATGGGGCATCACCTTTGTCCAAGGAGCTGAATTCCCACCAGGCATGGGACTGTGGGAACTTAGCACTGTTTCTCTAGTTAGGGAGAAAATATCCTGAAGGAATTGTATTGAAATCACTAAGGAAACCCAGAGAGGAAATTAGTACGGGTGTGGGCCAGCTATGGAGCTGGGTGTCATCCCTTGGTCCTAGGGTGACCCACTGCTCCCAAGGGTGGACCACAGTGACCTATGGATGGGATCTTTCCGAAGCAATTATTTCTTCCTGCCTGCCTATCTAATGAGGAGTTTAATGGAATACACCCTTCCTATGGCAGGAGTAAGGCATGTGAACTCTCAAGGGGGCTCTTACTTGGATTCATCATATGAAACCTACACAAATCACTTCCAGCCCTAGAAGTCATGATTGACTTGGGTAATACAAGCCAAAAGCCCAAATTTCTGCATAGTATGAATTAACATATTTGAATAAAGGAGAAATTTAGTAACTGCTATTAATTAGTTAAAGAACTCAACAAGTTAGCACATTTGTATTCTTAACTGAAATGAAATATTGTATTCTCACTTTCTGTTAAGCTGGACAATGGATTCACAATGAGTATGCAATCGTTTCTGCAAATGAATGTGATTTATGTAGGAATAAGGCTCCTATCAAGGGAGACTGTCAGAAGGGCTTTCTCATGTATCTCCTCGCCTTTTCCTGTAGCTCTCATTTTTTTTCTCTCTATGGAGATATTAATTGGCATTGCAAATGGGTTTTTCTTGCTTTAGTTTACTTTGCAAATTCACATGAATAAATTTTGCCAGTTCATTAGAATACTATACTAGTGCATTATGGTGTGTTATATAAGAAAATTGTGAACTGGGCTCAGTGACTCAGCCTGTAATCCCGCACTTTGGGAGACTGAGGTGAGTGAACTGCCTAAGCCCGCGGGTTCGAGACCCTCCTAGGCAACTTGGCGAGACCTCATCTCCACAATAAATCAAAAAATTAGCCAGGCGTGGTAGCGTGCGCCTATAGTTCCAGCTACTTAAGACTGAGGCGGAAGGATTGCCAGAGCCCAGCAGGTCGAGGCTGTGGTGGCCGGGAGTGTGCCACTGCACTCCAGTCTGGGTGACAGAGTGAGACTGTAACTCAAAAAAAAGAAAGAAAGAAAGAAAGAAAATTGTGTATATTAAATCACCCTTGCATCTCAGTAATAAGGCTCACTTGGTCATACTGAGCATTTTTTTTGATGTGCTGCTAGATTCAGTTTACTAGTATTTTGTTGAGGATTTTTGCATCTATGTTCATTAGGGATATTGATTCACTGCATAAACAGAATTCAAAGCAAAAAAACATATGATTACCTCAATAGGGACAGAAAAGGCATTTGACAAAATCCAACATCCCTTCAAGATATAAACCCTCAACAAACTAGGCATCGAAGGAACACATCTCAAAATAATAAGAGCCATCTATGACAAATCCACAGCCAACATCATATGGAATGGGTAAAAGTTGAAAGCATTTCCCCTAAGAACTGAAACAAGACAAGGATGTCTGCTCTCATCATTCCTATTCAACATAGTACTGGAAGTCCTAGCCAGAGCAGCCAGGCAAGAAAAGGCATACATGCATCCAAATAGGAAAAGAAGAAATCAAAGTATGTCTCTTCACAGACAATATAATTCTATACCTAGAAAACCCTAAAGATTCCACCAAAAGATTCTAGACCTGATACATGACTTCAGTAAAGTTTCAGGATACAAAATCAATGTTGAAAATTTAGTAGCATTTCTATACAACATTCAAACTGAGAACAAAATCAAGAATGCAATCCCATTTACAATAGCCACCAAAAAATTAAAATACCCAGGAATACATCTAACCAAGGAGGTGAGAAATCTTTGCAAGGAGAACTACAGAATACAGCTGAAAGATGACACAAACAAATGGAAAAAACATTTTATGCTTATGGACTGGAAGAATCAATATTGTCAGAATTTCCATACTAACCAAAGCAGTCTACAGATTCAGCACAATCTTTATCAAGTCACCAATGTCATTTTTCACACAATTAGAGAAAAAATTTCAAACTTCATATGGAACCAAAAAAGTTTGAGTAGTCAAAGCAATCCTAAACAAAAAGAACAAAGCCAGAGGCATCACATTACCTGACTTCAAACTTTACTGCAAGCCTACAGTAACCAAAACAGCATGGTACTGGTACAAAAATAGACACACAGAGCAATGGAGCAGAATAGAGAACCCAGAAACAAAGCCACACACCTACAACCAACTGATCTTTGGCAAAGGCAACACAAATAAACAATGGGGAAAGCAGCCAGGCTCGGTGGCTCAGCCTGTAATCCTGCACCTTTGGGAGGCTGAGGTGAGTGGATTGCCCTTAGCCCATGGGTTCGAGACCCGCCTGGGCAGGTGAGACCTCCCTCTATAGTAAATCAAAAAATTAGCCGGGCGTGATAGCGCGCGCCTATAATTCCGGCTACTTGGAAGGCTGAGGCAGAAGGATCGCCGGAGCCCAGCAGGTCGAGGCTGCAGTGGCCGGGAGCGGCCACTGCACTCCAGTCTAGGCAACAAAGTGAGACTCCAACTCAAAAAAAAAAAAAAAAAAAAAAACAATGGGGAAAGCACAGCTTATTCAGTAAATGGTGCTGGGAAAACTGGCTAACCATATGAAGAAGGTTGAAGCTGGGCCCTTACCTTTCACCATATCAAAAAATTAACTCAAGATGAATTAAAGACTTAAATGTAAAATCTCAAACTATAAAAATTCCAGAAGAAAACCTAGGAAATACTTCTCTGGACATTGACCTAAGCAAAAAATTGATGACTAAGTTCTCAAAAGCAAATGCAACAAAAGCAAAAATTGACATTTGGGACCTAATTAAACTAAAGAGCTTCTGCACAGTGAAAGAAACTATCAACAGAGTATCAGACAGCTTACAGAATAGGAGAAAATATTTGCAAACTATGCATTCTACAAAGGACTAATATTCAGAATCTACAAGAAGTGTAAACGAACCACCACCACCACCCACAAAAACAAATAACCCTATTAAAAAGTAGGCAAAGAACATGAACAGACACTTCTCAAAGAAGACATACAGATGGCCAACACACCTATGAAAAAATTCTTAACATCACTAGTCATCAGCTAAATGAAATGAGATACCATCTCACACAAGTCAGAATGCTATTATTAGAAAGTCAAAAAACAACAGATGTTGGTGAGATTGTGGAGAAAAGGGAACACTCATATACTGTTGGTAGGAATGTAAATTAATTCAGCCTCTAAGGAAAGCAGTTTGGACATTGCACAAAGAACTAAAAATAGGTTTACTATTCAACTCAGCAATCCCATTATATACCCAAAGAAAAATAAGTCTTTCTACCAAAAGGATACCTACACTCATATGTTTATTGCAGCACTATTCACAATAGCAAAGACATAGAATTAATATAGGTGCCCATCGATGGTGGATTGGATGAAGAAAACATGGTACATATATACTATAGAATACACTGCAGTCATTAAAAAAAAAAATTATGTCCTTTGCAGCAACATGGCTGTAGCTGGAGGTCACTATCCTATGCAAATCAATGCAGAACCAGGAAACCACTTGTTAGTGAGAGCTAAACACTAGGTACACACGGACATAATGATGGAAACAGCAGACACTGGGGATTCCTAAAGGGGTGGTGGAGGGAGGAGAGCAAGAGTTGAAAAACTACCTGTTGCTTACCATGCTCACCATTTTGGTGACTGGTTCAATGGAAGTCCAAACCTCACCATCACATAATAGAAAGGGGGACCCAAAACTCTGGAATTATTTTTGGAGGGCAGGCCCCTTGTAGTACATTCAGAATTTGTTCTCCCAGGTCAAACGGTCAACCAAAGTTTTTATCTGGGAGTTTTGAGAAGGTTGTGTTATGATTTGTAGAAGAAACGTCCCAAGTTGTGGCAACCAAGTGCCTGGTTCTTCCAACATGACAATTCAACCACCAGGACCGCACTGAGTGTTCAGCAGTTTTTGACCCAAACTGGCAATGGTCCCCATGCTCCACCCTCCTTTTTCACCAGATATTACCCTGAGCGACTTTTTTTTGTTTCCCTGATGAAAAAAAAAAATCCTCAAAGGGAAATGTTTTGCTGATGTGGAAGAATTGAAACAAATGGCAGAAGCACTAAAAGACCTCAAAATTGACGAATTCAAAAACTGTTTTGAGCAGTAGAAATACAATCTTGATAGGTGCAATACATCTTGACTTGAAGCATACTTTGAAGTGACTCAAGTTTCAACATGTAAGAATAAATACACTTTTTAAAAATAAATAAATTCCGGAGTTTTTTGGGTTCCCTTTGTATACCCATGTAACAAACTTGCACATATACCCCTGAATCTAAAATAATTTAAAAAAATAAGAAATTTACTTCCAAAAAGACAAATGTATGACTATATGAATGTGTCTGTGTCTGGTATGTTTTACGGGGGCGGGGAAAGGAAGAAGATATTTCTCTTTTAATGTATAATGATGTGTTCAGAAATCTTGTTTTTTAATAAAAGCTCATTAAACTGAACAATTTTAGAAGTTTTGAACTATTATCACATCTGCTTCCAAGAAGTTTGTAATGGCCCAAATGTGGAAAGTAGAAATCATTGTATTTCTGGCAGTCACTGAACACCTGGGTAAGGCTTTATTCATGATGTTGCAGTCACATTAGTAAGGAAGCTCACATTCTCAAAGACCCAATATGCAATTACAAACCTGCTGTTTTGATGACATTATCAATGACTTCCATTGGGATTTGCTCATTACTTATGAACCTGACTGACCGTCTCTTATTGAGAAGTTCATAAAATTCCTGCGATCTGGTAACCATTTCCTTCTCAGGATAGCGGGTATGGGAGAAGGAGATGTGTTCGACCTCTTCCTCTGATTCTTGCCATTTATCAGTATCTGCAAATAAGAACAAGAAAGGTTGCAAATTAAATGATCTCTCTTGGTCCAAATGGGGTCACTGGGGAAAAGGAAATAAATTTGTCAAAAGTATCTGTAAAGTCTCCAAAAAAATAACCTAACAAAATTAAATCAATTGATCTACAGAATCCTGACCACTGATATTGACCATCCTTAAAACTTCAGTGGGCCACAGTAGCTCACTCACACCTGTAATCCCAGCTACTTGGGAGGCGGAGGCAGAAGGACTGCCTGAGCCCAAGAATTCAAGGCTGCAGTGAGCTGTGAATGTACCACTGTACTCCAGCCTGAGCAACAGTACTTAACAAAACAAAACAACCTCCAGATTTGATATATCTTGAAAAAGGAAAAATTTACTTACAAAAATATGAGGAATTCAAAGTTCTGTTAATGGTGAATCAGGTCACTTGAAACAATCATCAGCAGAAAATCATTCAGATCACTTAACGGTATTTTTTAAAGTCCATTTAAAATTATTGAGCTGAAAATATAGTAAGAAATGTCCAGGCCAAAACTGAAGGGAAAACATGAATTCACAGAGGAAAAGTAAGTACAAAAGCTGCATTTTTCCTGATTATATTTGCCAGTACCTACACATTTGAATTTCCATTCTTATGTCTTCAGGGATCAAGGCCCAGGTCCACACACAATGGGAAATCTGATAAGCTGGGACCCCAAGACTACTTTTTTAGGGAAGTGTGAATTCTAAATGAGCCCTCAAGGGCTTTATATTATTTTGATGGAATTTACCTCAAATTTGAGCTTAGAGTAAGGTTGTCCTGCCTGAAAGTATCCCAGCTGCCTAGTATAAACAATTATCAATATACAAATAATATTGGATATTACCAGCAAAATGCACCAGGTATCTGAAGAACACCACATCTTGAACAAGAAACAGCAGAATCAATTTTTAAAAATAAATTCATAGCCGGTCTTGGTGGCACACGCCTGTAGTTCCAGCTACTTGGAAGGCTAAGGCAGAAGGATCACTGAGCCCAGCAGGTCGAGGCTGCAGTGGCTGGGAGCATACCACTGCCCTCCAGCCTGGGCGACAGAGTGAGACTCCAACTTAAAAATAAATAAATAAATTCAGATGCCCAAAGACTCTAAATATTGGAATTATCAGATTCAGAAGATAAAACAACTATGATTACTATGTTTATAGAAGAAAAGACAAACACATAACTCTATAAGCTATAGGGAAGAATAAAAAGTAACATAGACAATATGAAAAAAATAAAACCTCTAGAACAGAAAAATAATAGCATTAAGAACTTAATGAATGGGTTGACTAGCAAGTTAGACTATTCAAAAAATTAATACCACTGGGAGATAAGTTGGAATAAAACACCTAGAATGGGACAAGAAGAAACCAAAAAATGAAAACATAGAAGAAAGACCAAGAAAATATAGAGCAGAGTGAGAATGTCTGATACACGTTTGATCATTTGGTTCAAAGAGATTGTGACAGAGGCAATATTATTTGAAAAGACAGAGTGTGGGATTTTCTTAAAACTGATGAAAAATAACAAACTTACAGATTCAAGAAGCCAGGTAAATTATTTTTTTCTTGATAAGAACTTTTATTTCTTTTTAATGACATTAAACACAACTGCCAAGAGATAAAACATGATAAACAAGATGTACCAAACTTTTATTTCATAATTGATCCTGATAATAATACAAGTAAATCAGGGCCTGTATTAAATGCAAAACTATAGGTTACTTCAGGCTTCTTACTTATAAGTAAACTATGTAGACAGTACATTTTTACTCTGAGATCCAGTAAAAAAAAAAGAGAGAAAGAAACTCATGCCATTTACAATCAAATATGAACTCTTAAAAGCAACTAGAGAAAAAAGACTTTCAGAAAGACAACAAGAATACAACAATTTTTAACAGCAACAAGAATAATTGTGTTGAATATAAACATACTAAATGCTCTGGGTAAAGGCCAATAATTTTTTAAGTCCAAATAGATTGTTTATAAAAAGACACATCTAAAACATCAGAATATAGAAAGATTGAAAGTTATGTCATACATCATATAGCTATAGTAATATCAGATGAAAGAGAAATTAAGGCAAAAATATTGTTCATAATAAAAATGATAACTTTATAACAATAACATTTACTTCACTGGGAAACCATAATTTTAAATGTATGCACTTATATTACAGGCCATCAAGACAGACTTTCAAGAGAAATGTAAAAGTTCACAATCACAGTGGAAGATCTTAACACATCCCCCTCAGTAATAACAGAATAAAGAGAAGAAAAAAATCAGTAAGGATATAGATTTAAACAAGGCAATTGACAAAGGTGATCAAATGGATATGTCCAGAACATTGCACCAAACAACTACAGAAAACATATTCTTGTTAAGTAGCTCAAAACATTCATAAAAGTTGACCATATAAGGCTGGGCGCAGTGGCTCATGCATATAATCCCAGCACTTTGGGAGGCCAAGGTGAGAGGATGACCTGAGCCCAGGGGTTTGAGATCAGTTTTGACAACTTGGTGAGACCTCGCCTCTATGATAAATTTTTAAAAAATCAGCCAGGTGTGATGGCACATGCCTGAGGTTCCAGCTACTTGGAAGGCTGAAGCAGAAGGATCGCCTGAGCACTGCTGGTCGAGGCTGTGGTGACCATGAGCATGCACTACACTTCAGTTTGGGTGACAGAGTGAGACTCCAACTCAAAAACAAAAACAAACAAAAAAAGTTGACCATACATTGGGCCAGAAAATAACTCTCAACACATTTCAAAGGTTCAATAGATAATGATCTCTGACTGCAGTGCAACCAAGCTAGAAATCAGTAATGGAAAGATGACTGAAAAAAAAAATCAGAGAAGATATCTTAATAGGAAACATTTCAAAATGAAAATATAAAATTATTACATATTGGAATTTAAAGGTTTAAATATATACATTAGATTTTAAAAAACCCCTAAAAATTAACGAAGTAAAAATCAGTTTCAAGATATCAGAAAAAGGACAGCCAAATAAAAGTATGTCTTCTATCTTATTTACCTAAGATAGTAGAAAGAAGTAAATATTAAGAAAAAGGACAACATTCAATATGGAGAAACATGAACACCAAAGTTGGTTATTAGTAAAGACAGATTGAAAACCCCTGGTAAAATTGATCAAGAAAAAAAGAAAGCACAAATAACAAATATCAGGAATGAAAAAGAAGGCATTGCTACTGATGCTACTATCATTTGGCCAATGGTATGAGAATATTATGATAATATATTAGAAAATTCATATAAAACCATTACATAAGTTGAATCAGTAGGCAAAGATCTTCCTAAAAGAGAAAAAAAACTCCAAGTCCAGATATGTTCATGAAGAAGTTCTACCAAGCAGTCACAGAGAAAATATTGCTAAACATTCTCAAATACTTCCCATTAATAGATAAAGAGAGAACACCATCTCAACTCATAAAGACTATTAACAACCTTGATAACAAAACATGAACAAGGAATTAAAAGAAACAAAAATGATAGATTCAACTTCCTCTAAACATAGATACAAAACCCGAAACAAAATTTTAATAATATAATTCAGCAATAAATGAAATATACTACATCTTGGCCAAGTTGAGATTATTCCAGGAATGCAGGGCTAATCAATGTTTTTGTCATATTTACAAGCTAATGAACAAAACCATAAAATTATTTTAATGCAGATGTGTTTGATAAATTTTCCATTCATCTCTCAGTAAATTTGGAGTAGAAAGAAACTTTCTTAATCTGATATAGTCTAATTATGGGTGGGTGGAAAAAAATACCACCCACATGCAGCTATATAGTTAATGTTCGTTCAAGACTTGAAGTCCCTTGAGATTGAGACCAAAAGGATGTTGAGTGTTCTCACCACAATTCTAAATATGAAAGACTAATTTTTAAAGGTTTTAGAATAAAAAAGGAGACTATCTTTAAGACTTTGGAGTGGAGAAGAATTTCTGAAACAAGACACAAAAATAGTAACCATAAGAAAAAGACTTGACGTGAACTACATGAAATTTGCTATTATATTTGCATGCTCCTGAAATTTCTGGGTTTCCCCTCTGCCTTTCTATTCAGAGTGTTCTAGAAACTTGTCTGTAACTCAAGATTTTAGAAAAGATGAAGATGCAACAGAAGATTCAGTTGTTGAACTAAAAATGGTAAAACTGAAGAGGAAGAAAATGAACCCACAGCTATGGCAGAAGATAAAAAGGAAGATGTGTCTGGTGCAACAGAAGCCTCCTAATGGGTAGACCCAGTTATCTAATTTTAGAAGGATATTTTCCAATAAATAACATCATGAAGTTCCTGGTAGGATTTATAAGCAAGGGTTCAGAAGACCTTATTGTCAAATCCCCAGATACCTCATTCCAATAGTCTCAGAATTTTTGGTTATATATCCAAAATCTCACAGCTCTTCCTCTGAATACTGTTTCTTTTCTTTTAAAATCATCAAAAGACATACTTTCTATCTTAACTACATGAATATCCACAGAAGTAAGTTCCAAGAAGCCATCTTTAATAAACTGTTAAGATTGTTGAAAAGGAAAATGTTTTGGATGGAGGAAAAATTATATATATATATTCCTTGCTTGTCTTAGACTAGTCTTGGGCTTCTGGTTGTTGTTGAACTTCATCAATTCCTAGAATCTAGGAGGCAAAAGATAACTAAAGGAGATCAGTACAAAAAGTAGACCTCAATACAACAAATCAGAATGAATTGTTATGAGTTGGATTTTTTTCAGAAAATTTTGAAGCACATAAAGAAAGTGTCACCGAGAAGGCTGCCCAGGAAATAGACACTGAAGATATCAATAGGATCTAATGAATGAATGGTTCTTTTACACAACAATTCAGTCTTTACAAACCTGTCCTAATACTTTTCAGCCTGATAAGAACTGATTTTTCAAGCTATCAAAATGTATGTGTATGTGGGTATGTATGTGGCAACCTCCCCAACA